CGCTGAAGCCTTTTGGGCTTGGGTAGGTCTGGCTTCCTCCCATGGGAACCTTGGGGTTATATTTCAAAAGGCACCTGCTGCTTTAAAGAAGAAAGGGAAAAAAAAGCTTCAATTGCACAGGATTTTTATTTCTTTTACTTGGTTTTGGCCCCTTTTCCAAGTTCTACTTGCCCAGTGATTTTACTTCCAATGAGAGGGGAAGGGCTGAACGCTGCAGCTCGTCTTGGCATGTTGAGCACAGAGCTCCTGGCAGATATTTTTCTACCGGCAATTAATTTTAAATGCAAAATATACAAGTGAGTATATGTTGAATCTCGGCCCTGATAATTTGCAGCAATTCATGGGGAGAACTCGGCATACACCGCATTAGCTGACAAGATTTATATCTGATTGATTTCATTCAATGTCATGTTTCCCTTAGGCGGATGAGGATTATATAGCTCTGCCTTCAAGAAGGAAGGCATTTGTTAATTACATTCATTAATTACATGGGCTCTACCAAATGGCATTCTCAAATGTGGAAAAATGCAAAATGTGCAGTCACATGTATTTATTTGTAATAAAAATACAAAGCCTTTAGGCAATGATTTTAAACAAGGACTTTACTAGACTGTCAGCAAAGTGTTATGGGAAGGGGGTTCACAGCTTAATACTTACTAGTACCTAAAGCAGAGGCCAGCACACAACAAAAATGCCGCTAAACACATACAAGCTTTTACAAAAGATAGAGACAGATAAAGTGAAGTAATGAAACATGAAGTGTTAAGACTTCATTTTATTAGCATATTTCTTCCTGTTGTCCCTCTGTCTGGTTTTTCGAAGGATAACCTGCACAGCTTTTGACGGCGAACGGGCCACGGTCCTTCTGTTGTGAGAAATTGGCAGAGGAGGGCTGAAGTTGATTTTTTTCATGCATCCTTCTGCATTAAAAAGATGCTTTCATATGGAAGACTCATCACCATTATAAAACTTGTAATTAGTGGTGTCTCTCAAACAACCTGCTGATAACCTCTGCTATGTCCATAGGCCCCGCAATGTCAGAGCCCTACTGCAAAATCTTAAGATTCAACAGAAGAACCTTAAATGGGAATAAGTTGCCATGTGTGTATCTTCAAAGTAGGAAGGAGATGTTAAAAGGCTGCACGTTTAAGTTTGAGCTCTCTCAGCTGTGCCACTGACTGGTTGTTTCTCACTGAGTATGTTTAAAACTCTCCCTAATAGGTTTCTTGATAGCTTCTTCCTTAAATACTATTTCTTTCAGACTTCAGAGGCTCTTTGGGCAGCAGCAAGGCATGCATTTGTGCTCACACAGCAGCACGTCGACCTCCTTTTCCTAAAGCCCTGCTGTGGTGCCTAGCCTTGAAGTCACTGAAGAAACATCGCTTATGTAGCACTGTTCTCCTTTCAGGAACTGCCATCCATCACTATGAAAACCAACATCCTGTGAGTTTGTTTCAAGCTTTCTGCCTCATCACCTGCTTCAGATAAGCTGTGCTCTGAGTTCTGCTGGAGAGACATGGCTTTCCGTGACTGGAAGTGGCTCCTGCTCTTGGGCAGGCAGAACACCTTTGCCAAGGCTTGGAGGGGCAGGAGGGGAGGCCCCTCTCTGCGCTGGAAGCGCTGCTGCCATTGGAGCGCTGGCAAGTCTCTGGACCCTGAGGTGAGAGCATTTTTGGAGGAGAACACAGAGGTCACCAGCAGCGGGCACCTCACACCAGAGATACGACTGCGCCTCCTCACTCCTCGCTGCAAATTCTGGAGGGAAAAACCTGACCTGTGGCCTTATGGGGACCCATTCTGGGCAATTTACTGGCCAGGAGGCCAAGCCCTCTCCAGGTACAGAGCACGTATCACTGAAGTTGATAGATCCAGTCTGCTGCGGGCCAGGGCATCAGAGCTGGCTTTCTTTGTAGTGATCCCTAGCGATGCGTATTTGTGGGTGTGAGAGCACATTATCCATACTCCTCTCTGCTTATAATAGGAGACATGCAATCTCTGCTGGTTAGCAGTTAAAGTTTCAGCACTTGCTTTATATATAGAATAGCTTACAGCTCCTAAGTTAAAATCTTTCATCTCCGGTGGCAATGCATGTGTTGACAATGGGGCTGAATTTGGATCTGTGGAAGAGTTGTGCAGTTGCCATCAAAACCTAGTGAGGTGTCTAATTCTATCGCTCATTGTCTCTCCAAAACAGGAAGATTGCTGTTTTGTTGTTAACTCATGATTTGGTTTTTTGAGGTTTTTTTTTCTGTAGGAGACAGACAGGAGTGTGCATGTGTGTCTGGTCTGTTGAGGAAAGTAGGTTTATGCTGATGCAGTTGGAGTGCTGGTTAGTCTGAGTCACTCTCCTCATTTAGGATTTCACCAGCCTTTATTGTCAAACCTTATTGTGGCTGTCTTTCAGTCTCATTAAAAATCACATTTTGAATTTTGGCCACTTACTGTCAAAAGGTCTTTAGTGTTCCTGATTCCCAGGAACTACTTAAGAGTTCTTTTATTCTGTAAAATCAAATCTCTCCCTTTGAACAGCAGAAAGGAATCATAATTGTTACAGCAAAGAACAACCTGTCAGATGAAAGAGAAGGATCTGAATTGGGCCTTTACTGCTTTTCTGCAAGAAAGCATAAACAAGAAGGTGTTTTTGACCAGGAAAGCTAAGTCTTACAGTTAAATTCAAAGTTTATTAGCTTGCCATGTAAATGAACTCGAGCACTCCTAAACATTGCGTAATTAAATTAGGTACAGTAATCTCTACACTTTGTTATCATACCATTCATATGGCCAGGTATTTGGGTAGCAATAATAATCACTCAGCATTTCACCACTTTACTGACTTACTGTTTATGCACTGTTTTGATATATTGGCAATGTCACAAACCAGCTGCATAATCTAGAAAAGTAAAAAGGCAGCATGAAAACCGTGGTGTTTCCACAAGATCAAGAGTCTCCTATTTCAAGCTATTCCTCTTGGTGTAACCTAAGATCCCTCATTATCCCAGCATGGCAGACAGCAGTCTCCAGCTGCAGAAGGATGTCCCTGCCAGGGAATGCGGCTGCTTCCAGCTGTCCTAAGTCACTGAAATCATTAGTGGTAACTAGAGAACCACTCAGCTGGAAACAAGGCACTTGCAGCATTAGGCCTGGTCATGCTCTATGCAGGTTCCTGCTGGAAAGTCATTGCAAATGCACTGCCCCTATAAAGGGGAAACTGAACACCTTCTGTGGAGGTTCCACCCCTGCTGGTAAACTAGAGGCTGCCCTCAAAGGTGTGAGGGACTCAGGGGGAGCCAAACAACTGAGTTGCTGAGCCTCTGCCCTGGGTGCCCTCAGGGAAGGGAGCATCTGTAGTAGCAAGTAATGCTGCAACATTATGGGAACAGTGTAACAATGCTGGCAGACCTCAGAGGAGAAGGTGATTTTAGTTAGAACTGAGCCAGTTTCACTCCTTGCATTCATAACCACATACTCAAAAGCACCAAGCTGTGCACATTCAAGCTGTCTGGTAGGATTCCTTGTGGTGACATGTAGAACAAGAGGTGTGGGATGTCAGGCCCTCCTCATGTTTCCTCAGTTTCTGCTCTGGGTATTTTGTGTCTTCTCAACCTTCCTGCTAACCTCTCTTAATGGCTTGAGCTAATTAATCTGAGGGTAGGGCTCGTGCGAATCTGTATACAGACCTGCTGGGATCTTGGTGCCAGCAACACGTGACACTCTTCTTAGGCCTCCTTCTGCCATTCCTCCTGGTGCTTCTAGGCCCAGCCATTCCCACCCATCCATTTGCCATTTATACCAACCTTACGTTTCCATTACAGTTCTCTGCACTGGAACCCAGTTACCAAAAGCTCTGCTTACCAGCAGCCCCATGTGAAAAGACAGCCATCACCTTCTGTGCCAGAAGACAACAGAAATGTAGAATTGGTAGTAAATTTGCAGTAACTTGTGTCACCTAGCGCTTCTTCCCTGTCACTTAGGGCCTTCCCCGTTGCAGGGATTGAATTTCAAGGCAATTGTAAAAGTTCTGAACCCTCAGTGATGGCTAGATGATTTGTAGTGTTTAACAATAACCACTGCTTGCCTTCTGTCCGTTCTCCATTTCCAGCCTAGAGGGTTTTTTCTGCTGATTCCTCTTGGCAGGTGTCAGCAACTAGATGAAGATACTTCAGCTCACTGCTGCTCTATTCTCATTTTCTTTTTGCTACTCAGGAACAACGTGAAGCAGACTAGAAGCGTTTGCATCTGTGTCTGCACAGCTCTGGAAAAGAAAGAGGAGAAATTCCTCTTCTTCCAAGCAGTTGCAAAAGAAGTATTTGAGTGCAATGGGTAGGCCTTGTCTTCTGAGAGGGGCAACATTCCCTGCAAATACATCTTCATGTTTCTTCAGTGAGATTGCCTTTAATTCCTGCAAATCCTTATCCACAGTTTACTTTCTTCTTTCTGATGCCAAGCACTTGAGTGACCTTGCAGTTTGTGCCCATTTACTTAGATAAGCTCACCTGTCAGAAGGAGCTGATTGTTTGGGAGGTGAGGGCGAGAAGGGAGAAAGACAGTGGTTCTTAATTTTTGTATCAGCGGAGACAAGTAAGGAGCTATGCACTTGCTGCCCGTGTGGAACAGTGTTTTTAAGACGGCATGCTTCATTACATGTGTGACAAGAACTCTTATGCAGTGTAATGTGAAACTGAGAAGTTCTCATAATCTTGTTCATTGCTTTAACAGTTTTTCTTTTCAGGTATATTTTGGATAACCCACACGTTGTTAAAGGACGATCGGTCTTAGATCTTGGAAGTGGATGTGGAGCAACAGCAATAGCTGCTGTGATGAGTGGTGCATCACAAGTCCTTGCTAATGACATCGACCCTAGTGAGCCCTTTTCTTTTATCTCTGTGTAGAGATATTATTTTTTAAAGCACATTTGACATTGACTTTTCTTTGCTCCCAGCTGGGAGCAATTCAGGTTCCAACAGAGTTCTAAGAATGTTAAAAAGATTAATGGAATTTGCCAGTGTTAAACACTGGGCTGTACCAGACTCGTGCACTGAGCAGATGTCCATAGCTCCATAGAATGAACAACCAGCAAAGTTTCTTTCAAATGTTTCCTATACACGATCACACTGGGTTTGGAAGAGAACTTCAAGTGCAGGCAGCAAGCTGGATTCTCTGTTGGACCATAGCATTTTCCTGCACTTTCACATGTTGGGGCCTAGATTTTACCTTTTTCTCCCAGACTGGTGTTTTCCCACAATTGCCTTATGAATTCAGTTTATTCATAATTTAATTATTCATTGGTTTGGGAGGAAGTATATCCATAGGTTAAGGCAGTTATATATTCTGGTTTGATTCCATGATTGGTTTCCAGTGGTATCTACTCCAGGAATAGTTCTTTCAGGTGTTATGCTGCAATGAGGATAAAATCACATCACTTTATGCCAGGTTTTGAGCCATAATGAAAACTGTGGAAGTCCTTAGAATAAACAAGAGATGAAAGATGCGTCAAAGAAATCTGTAACGGGGCTGAATGGCAGAATCCTAAAACATAACTTTGCTTTTATTTTTCTTCAGTTGCAGGAATGGCAATGACCTTGAACTGTGAACTGAATCATGTGAACCCCTTCCCCATCACTATTAAGAACATTATTAATTCAGAGGCTGGCAACTGGGACCTCATTGTACTAGGAGATATGTTTTATGATGAAGAACTTGCTGATGGGCTGCATGACTGGCTGAGGAAATGCATCACGACACAGCAAACCGAAGTACTGATTGGTGACCCTGGCAGGCACCAGTTTTCAAGCCACAGAATTCACAGCCAGTTGCACAAAGTTATAGAATATTCACTTCCCGAGTACACCAGACGAGAAAACAACGGATTAACATCAAGTATTGTCTGGAGTTATCAGCCCTCAAATAGCTCAGAAAACTGTTGAAGCTGGCTTTCTAATGAATTTTGTCTCACCTGGTTGGCTTTTTTTGTAAGTATGTACAACGAAGATGGGAATTAATCACAGAACACATCTGTTGATGCGAAGTAGATTGCTGTACTGATTTCAATCATGCTCGCTGAGGTTTTTGTTCCATTTGACCTAAAAAACTACATGCAAACGTATTCAGAGAGGCCTGCACTGAAGTGCAAATCCAAAGACAAGTTACATGTAAGGGTTTGCATGCTTGATGGTTTTTTTCATGTATATTCTTGTCTTGCTCTCTGACGCTCTTGCGACATGTTCTGGACGTCCAGCACATGGCTGCGGGGAGAAGGCAGTGGCTGAAAGACATGCTTTCACAGACTCTTGCAGTTCATTTACAGAGAAAATTACTGCTGTTCTTCATAAAACTCTCCGCTAGATTATTAGCTCATACTATGCTCAACTTAAAGTGCCTTGCTCTTTTTCTGGATGTCTCTTCTGAATGTCAAAGTAACTACTTTGAATCTTTCCCTTCCTCTCTGTAATAAAAATTTACCCACCCTTGAAGCTGGCAGAGTGATCATTTAGGAGTTGCACACAAATCTAGACGGTTTTAGTAGGTGGCAAGTGACTAAAGCACAACAGCTATAGGGTAACACAATTCCCTAGAGAGCAGGGTCAAATGAGCTACACTCCCTAACTCTGCAGGGCTAAAAAAGGCAATCTCTCACCATGAAAAGCTGGTCAGTGATAAAGAAATCTTTCCTTCCATGATGTTTCTGGACACCAGGTAACTGCATAGAGGGAATAAAAGCTGGATAATAAATTTTCTCTCCTCCTGAGGAGATTGCAGACAACCACCTCCAGAATCATTCTCAGCTCTGTCTGTCAAAGTAAGAACCCTCTGCTAGGTAAATGAAAGGAAAAAGAAAAAAAAAAAGATCCACAGGTAAGAAGTTGTAAACACAGCCACTTGAAGAAGAAGACAGTGTTTTCAGAGCAGTCTTGCAGAACTGTAACCTTTAGCAGTTAACTACCAAACAAGCAGTGATGGGATACTCATAACTACAAAATGGAATACAGCTATCCAAATATCAGGTCACATGGTAGAAGCTTGTAACTGTGAACAGGTATGGGGTATGCACTCAGAAAACCATAGTAGGAGGTTTAGCAGCACATGCAGATTTACTTGGTCATAAAATATAATTTAACGAGGTTTCAGAACTATCCAAACGGAAGACTCACAAACTTTAATCTTCAGAACAATATGTGAATATTCTGTAGTACCCATCCAACAATTGTTACAACTATAACAATATCCAAACAATACAGAATATGAAGTGCTAAGTGTATACACAATGTTCTTCCACTTTGTCCCACACTTGTAAACATTTGTTGAAAATGACTGTGATTTAACCTGAATCAAAAAATATTCCAGTAGAGTTATGCTAGTAATAAACACATAGGAGAGCAGACCCGAACTCTGACAGTGAAAGATTTAACGTGACTTACACTCAACTTTCAAAGCTAGAAATACAGTGTTAATTCATTGCAGTAGTGTACAGATTTTTAAGCACGAGGTGAGGATATACCACTAGGCTACACATTCAGAAGAGGCTACAGAAGATGGTAAATTACATGCAGATTTAGGGACAGAGTGTAAGATGCGTTTGCCCTCAGCATTACAAATCCAAGGTTACATCAGCAAGGGGAAGAAAGAGAACTTTCCCAGTGAAGGTAGTAATAGCACTGTCCCACAGGCAGATTTTTTTTTTATGTATCCTTTGCTGTTACAGATTTTGGTGATTTTCAACCTTTAGCTGCTTTACATTGTCTTCTTTCTGGATGTAGCACTTGAGATGAGAGTCTGGTGACCATCAGTGCACTATGTTATAGTTGCATGTCTCACAGTAACAGACTGAGGGAACTGGACTTGCTCGGCTTGGAAAGCAGAAGGCTTCAAGGGACCTATGAGCAGCCTGGCCTTAACTACAAGGAGGTTGTCAGGATGGCAGCCAAGCTTTTCCAGTGAGAAAGAGTTTAAGTTAAGCAAAACATGGTCAAATAGGATAGAAAGAAAACTTTTCTCCACCATGAGTACAGTCAAGCACTGGAACAAGTTGCCTCAAAAGATTGTGAAGGCTCGATCATCTTCAGTTTTTCAAGACTCGTCTGGATAAAGCCCTGACTAAGCTGGTCTGAGCTCTAAGCTGGTGCTGCTTTGGGCAGAAAAAATTAGACTAGAAACCTCCTGAGGCCCCTTCCTTCTTGAATTAGCTTAGAATTCTACTTAGTGCTTAAGTGGCACCCTTCCTGATCCTTATCCTTTACTTACCTGACACAATAACTGAGCGTGTCACTGCTCCTGCCTAATCAGCTAGATGGATAGATATGAAAAATAGTGCAAAACAAATTTATTGCCAACTCACGTCCAAGAGCTCAAAGGTACAGTGGGCCCTGAACGATAACAGGGATTCCATAGAGCAAAACAATAAACTACTCTACAGCCAAAAAAAAGGGAATAAAAAGTGCTTGATAAGGTTCTTAGGCCTCTATCTGGTCCCAGCATTTGCTGCAATTATAACCTTCAGACACTAGTTGCTAATGTAGCAAACCCAACTTCCGTTTGCAGGAATGGTCTGTACTGGTGCAGCTATACCAGTAGGTATCACAGGAACACATCTATCACTGGACTGAGTCACGGTACTGCAGGCAACAGGAGTTAGGGATTTACACATGGACTTGTTCTTCCATAAACCATAAAATCAACAGAAGAACAGCGCTTACCGTCAGGCATCAAAACATCCTTTAACACTACTGGATACAACACATGTATCTTCCATGCAATACGACCTGCGCTTTAAATAGGTTAGTAGAAGACTAGTTTATTTCTGCAACATATAAAATAAGCGTGGCTATGACAAGTCTTAAATTACTACGTAATCATACTCCTTTTGGTTACCTAAACCCATGGGTTTCTGAGTGTCAGACCCAGGTAAGACCACTCTAGCGAAACCCTGATACTTCCAGAGTATCAATGCAGTGCGCAACCTGTCCTATATAATACTAACATTTTAAAATGTTTAATGTAGAAGCCATAGAAGTCTTACTAGAGATCATGCTGTTTCAAGAAAGTCTATGAACATGATTTATAATTGCGGTAAGACCACTGGTCTACAGGCATTCTACAGTTCTAAATATTTTTTTTCTTTAATATGATTACAATTGAACAATATATCAATGACTGTTATTTTCAGCTTCTGGGGGCCACTGGAGATATAACAAACCATATATAGGAGAACAGATACTCTGGTGAACTCTACCATCCTGAGATTTATGTACTCAGACACTAAATTTGGTCCTATTTCACCCACAGCTATGCTTATGAAGACCAGTGTTTTGTTCCCTCAGAGGATTTTCATGCAGGAACACAGGCAAAAGCCAGAGCAATTAAGTATTTCCTGTATACAAGATTATTTTATTGGTCATAACTACTACTCTGAAATTTGTTAAGTCACCATGACACTTTCAAAGCAAGTTTCTGTTTACATGTTCACAGACAGTACTTTTAGATGTGTAAAAATCTGGCAAGTATTTGTTGGTAAATAAACCAGAAATCTGCAGCATTAGTAACATCAAAAGAAAGGTACCTACAGTTCTTCTTCCAGACCTAACAGAAGTACACGGTGAAGAGAGACTGTCTGTTACTACTAAAAAGACATTTCCGTTGCTGTTAACGCCACCTCCATTCACCAGTTCTGTCTTGTTGACTTTTGTCAGATTAAAGTACCAATGCTACAGACGCTTCTGTGTTGAGTGTCAATACTGTGTCTGAACGTGGTACTTTTAGCTGTGGACTACAACCTCAGAACACAGACTCACCTAAATTGGGTTTGCACATGTAGCTAAGATGCTAAAACATGCTAAGTAGTAGCCAAATCTGATACTTCAAGGAGCGATAACAGTCTAATATAATAATAAAGTAAGGCAACGCGATGCAAAGACAGACAAGACTCTAGGAGAAGACAATGGGGAAGCCCAGACTCACAGGCAAGGACTGGAATGGCGATGGAGACCTCTCGTGGGAGCAAGGAGGGAAGCGTTCTGGCATTACAAGTCACCAGCGATTTCTCCAAGATGTTTGTTTTCTGAAAGAGCTCTCCCATCTGTAAACTTTACACTCATACGTATAGGATAAATAATCAGTAAACAGTCCATGTTACTTGCTTGATTTTGTTTGATATGACTAGCTGCTCTAAAACATCTTGGGAACGATCTGAAAAATGCCAAGGAATTTACTGTTATTCATTCAGAAATGTTTAGAAATCAGGTAAGCAGCAAAACAATTCAATTACATATCTGTATTTATGCTTATCCTGCAATTACAATATCACACTTCAGATATTCCTGTAGTAACTCAAACCCCCTCAGTTCTTTCTCCAGTCACATAACTGTAAAGTACCACCAACCAACTAAACTTAAAAAAAAACGAAGATAGATTATAACCTCTCCTAAGCTCTGTGGTTTGTTTTTTTCTGGCTGACCAGTCTTATTCCATTCCGATGTATTCTGAAAGGATGTTGTTCGATACTTTTAGAATAGAGTAGGGGCTTAAATGTTAACATATTTTTCTGAAGCCTTATCACCAACCTGGGGTCTTCATCAGCACACTGAGGGGGAAAAAAAAAAGAAAAAAACCCCAAAAAACGAATTTCAACACAACAAAAAAATCCCCCTCTGAAGGTTGTCATGTTTCAAAACAAAACTTTAACCTTGCTTTAAAAATCTTAATGTGTGATTATTATTTTAGCTAGTAAGTTATTACTTGTTTGGGATTATTTATAAAATACAGTGTGCTTTTCCCTAGGGCAAGAAGATACTATCAGGAAACAATTACTCTTCTTACTCCCGATGTGATTTGACCTACCTGTTATCAACGGGCATCCATGGAACAGGAAAATGTGGATCTTCGGACAACAAGTAAGGACTGCTTCCACAGCAACATCGGTCAGATTCACACAGCGTACCATGTGGATTTCCTGTTACGAAAACAGTAGTAACAAAAGCCTGTCAGAGCATCCATAGTTTCAGAGTCAGAGCTTTCCTTTCACCCACCCATTCTCAGAGATCCCCACTCAGGAGAAATTATGACCTCCTCTGGGCACTGACCCCATATGTGCACCTGTACACAGCTGCCTTCGGAAAAAAGACAACAGCTTTTCTACGAAGAGTCAAAACTAAAACCAGAAACCTGAGTTTTCCCAAAACACACCTATCATTCAAGACAACTGAAAAAACTCTTCAATGAGATTCTATGGTGTTTGAGTTCCATCTGTTTTCCGATATAGGAGACACGTTCTCCTAGTAATTCGCTGTCCACGAGGACAGAACCCAAACTGAATTCTGGGGTTTCCCAAAACAGGCAGGATTCATGAGTCTCTGTTGAAGTTCCTTGTCTATATCTATATCTATATCATAAAAAGTCCAAGAAGTTCTTCCAAGACTGAACTAAAAGCTGTTCTCTTCTTGATTTCTGAACAGCTGTAAAACTAGAATCTGATATATTTATTAGAGGAAGAATGAATTCAGAATAAATTAACAGATCGTTACCAACCTTTTTCTTTCCTCTAAACTGCCTTCATATCAGTAAATATAAAATACCAGAAAAAAACACAGAAGAGAAAAAAATCTAATGAAAATTTGATGTGGGAAAATATACTTTTGGGTATCTTGGGGTAAAAATAAAGAGGCTCATTGTTTTATTGTTAAAGAATGTCTTTCCAAATGATAAAATCCAAGGATCTTGAAAAAGCACAGAAATGAAAGGAATCTTTTGTAAAAAACGCAACTTTGTACAGAATGATGACACAGAAAACAAGAACTGCATTCAGAGAAGCAAGATATACAAAAGCTGATATACGTACAGTTTTTAGCTTATTTCTGTAAGTGGAATACTAAACCTGAATGCCTTTGAAAGAAGTGAACAGATTTATAAATCTGCCTGCTTTTCACTGTGTTCCTGACATAAGATCACTGTCTATATATTTGCACTTTGATGACATGAAACAGGAGTATGAGGATTGTGGTATGGAC